GTGGTTGGCGGCAATCGACGCAGTTTTTGAAGCTCCGTGGAAAATTTTCAAGTTTAAATCGATCGAGCTATGAATTTCGAAGTTATTACAAAAAACACTTTTTTCGATTTTTTTCGACAGCGATATCTCACGAACGCATCAACCGATTCTTACGTTTTGGTGGCGATCGATGGGGGTTTTCAAGGTTAAGAGCTGATTAGTTTTGAGACCGATCGGTTCAGCCAATTCGGAGATATTTAAAAAAAATGAAAAAAAAAAAACAACTTTTTTTTTCACTTTTTTTGGATTTTCTCGAAATCTACCGGTCCAAATCGGTTCAAATTTTCAGGAAATCTAAGTTTAGTGAAGCCCTTTCGAATGACCCCAACCGCGATGAAATCGGTCAAGTCGTTCAAAAGTTACAAGAGGTTTACATACACACACACATACATACAGACGTACGGACATCATCGTAAAAATAGTCAGGGAAGCTTCCTGTGACCTTCAAACGTCGAGATCTGATGAAAACTCGATTTTTGTAAAACGGGGTGAAAACAATAACTTCCCGATTTTTGAAAATATGAGATTTTTAGCGGGAAGTTAAAAATTAAATGCAGGTTTAAATTTATTTAAAAAAAAAAAAAGGTTAGTACTCAATTTTAGATTTTTTTATCTAAAAATGTTGATTAGAGCACTCCTCAAAGTTTTATGTTAAAAAAATTTCATCGCGAATAAAAAATCGTATTTCATTTACAAATAAATGCACTTTTAAGTATTTAGAAAAATAACAACTCTCATTTTTTTAATTTGTCAAAATTGATTTCCTCGCTGAAATATTTATAATTATAAACATTATTAATTAATCATGTTGGATTAACTTATTTAAAACTCCGGTATGCATGCCTGTAATAAATATATTATATTTGTGCCGTAATTTATATTATTAATATTTATATTATTTTTATATTAAAAAAAGAAATCAATTTAAAGTATTAAATATAAAAAGTTTTCCTGTGCCTTATGAATTCAGTGGTAGTTCCCGTACAAGCACGGGAAAACAAACTGGAGAATATTTTAGTTAATTTTTAGCGCCTTTTATTAAAAAATAACCCGTGCGCATGCGCGAAAGTAATGGAGCACGGGACGGTCTGATTTGAGCAAAAACGGAGTAAAATGACCATTTTCCCGTGCCTCGGGCCCGAACCGGGAATGTGCCGTTAGTTACACTCGTAATCCACTTCAATTATTAGACTACAGATATAGTTTCGCGTTTGATGATACAAACACGTTAGTATTAATACACATTTCGAATTTGACAGGTTGTTAGTAAATAAAATATCAATTAATTAATTACTACATTGTTATAATAAATAACTAACAAAATTACAATGGAGCGAAACCTTGAAAAAACAATGGAAGATGCGTAAGATTTTATTTTATTTTACGTAAACTGTTGTGATACTGAAATCAGCTGACATCTGACAATTTTTAAAATTTTTACTACAATTCATTATAAAAAAAAATATTTATATAAAATTTCCACTCACATTTTTTTTTTTTTGTTGCTAGAGGTTAAAGCTTTTAATTGGAATTTTTTTTATAATTATTTAGTTATAAAAATCTAAAAAATTGGCAGATGCCTGTTGAGTTCAGTACCACAAACTGTTTTTATTTTAATGGCATTAAAGTTAGCCGTCACTTGACAATTTTTTAATTTTATTTAAACAAAAAAATTGGTTTCAAAAAGTTCCCGAGAAAAAATATTTATATATAATTATATATATTTATATATAAATTGGTTATATATGATTATATATGAAAAATGGCCAAATATAATCATATCTAATTATATATAATTATATATAACTATATATAATTATATATAACAATATTTAATTATAGATTTATTACATCTAATTAATTATTGGGTTAATTTTATGGATAGAGTATTTAATATGGTCCTACGCAATTCTGTGTAACCGATCAAAATGCAAAAAAAATATCTAGATCTAATTTTATGGCTATAACACCAGTGGTCACCCATCCAACTATTAACCCTGCTCAATGCTGCTTAACTTTGGTGATCTCCGTGCGTCTTAAAGTTTCTGTCTGCTGTGCTGCTATCTTAGACAATAATGATTCTATGATCTACTTAATGTATCATATGAGTTTATCATAAATATAATATAAAAACTGATTTTATAATATATTTGGATAGTCATAATTAATAATTTATTTATCTTACCGAATTTAATTATAATATAACACTTATTTGAATAATAAAATAAATAATGATTTTACTACTACGTAGTAGCAGAGCAGACAAAACATCTCATAGAAAATGTGACAAATTTTGTATTTCAGAATTATTTAAACGTAATTAAAAATATCTTTTTACACTTTTTGTGATTACCAAAAAAAAATTTTTTTTCAAAGAAAAAATTTTTATATATGTTAATTATATATAAGCATATATAATTATAAATGGGACTAAGTTCAATCTTGCATAGCTGTATATAACTCCATAT